GCGCTGATGAGACTCAAGAACCGGTTGTTGAGGTTAAAAAACGACTTGGTCGTCCAAAGAAAGATGTTGAGGATTCCAGTGCTGATGAGACTCAAGAACCGGTTGTTGAGGTTAGGCGAAGGAGGAATCTGGAAGAGTACGTGGAGACAATATAGTTGAATGGTTATACGGGTGTACGGCAAAATATTATTCTTGTTTTGCCGGAGTCTTCTTGTGTTGGGCTATTGATGTCATTTGTTGTTCAAATGTGCTGCTATTCTTTTTTTTTTTTTTTTTTTTATATATACGGAAATTCTTTTTTTTTTTTTTGCAATCCCAATAAGAATGTGTGCATTTGTAAATATATTGCCAAATACCTTCTACTGTTCATGCGGATCCATTCTAATGGGTATTTCTTTTTTTCCCTTTTTTCTTTTTGTTCTTTTTATTCTGGTTAAATGTCTCTCAGGAAGAAGAAAAAAAGAAAATAGCAAAAGAAGGAGGAGGTAATATTTGCTCTCGTCCTTCTCCTGGTGTTTTTTTTTTTTTTTTTTAAGACTGGGTGGTGGTTGGTTGTGACTTGTGTCCTTGCGTTTTTTTCAACGCCCTATTAAATAACACAAGTGAATTGCAACAACAAAGGAAAAAAAAAAAGGCGCTTGGCAAATACCGAAAGAGAAGAGAAATCGCTAGAATATTATTTAATAGGATATACATATATACATATATTAGTTGATTACTCATATAATTTTCCAGGGAAATGATGCGACGTCTCTTCACATCTCTCGGATTGCTTTCTTGTTGTGCCCAGCGCTCTGTGGCTTCGTACCCGACGCCCGGCATGTCCCGCGGTATGGATAAGACAAACCGCAAGAAATACAATTTCCTCAACAATGAGCGAATGGTGGAAAAAGAAAAAGGATTACGCAACCGCAGGGAAATTCGTAGACGTGATGATGTTAATTGGCATCGTCGTGTAAGTTATCGTGAGACGGTAAATCATGCTGTTGTGAAATATATTCGCTACTTTCCAGAGAATGTGAAACGGTATGTTTTCTATAAAGATGTACGGGAAAGAAATGGCGGAACACGATTTCACGGTATGCGAAAAGCACCAGGAGTGACATCACGTCGTATTCTTCATTGGGTGGAAAATGAAATTCTAAAGCCTGAGAATCGAGAGCATCTCATAGAATTAATTAAGAGTACAGGTGAAACACCCCCAACAGAAGAAGAGTGGGCACGTTATACAGATAAAAAAACGGGTGAGATAATGATCAGTTTATATTTTCACAAAAGGGTAGAAGGTCATTTGCGTTCCTTTTGTGTACGACCACCTAATAAAAGAGATCATTGGAGAGATTTTAATGCTTTTTTGATGGCAAACCGTAACAACTTTGATATCTGTTTACCAATGCGCACATGGTCACTACGACAAGGTCCTATTCGAGATGATGAACTCATTGAACGTAGTTCACAGAAAGAGGTACGTGATATATTGGGTGAACTCGAAAGGTATCAACTCCCGCATGCTTTACGTGCCTTTGAGCAACTCACACCAGCGGAACGTGAAGTGATAGTTCAGAAAGCAGAAGAAAATAGAGAGGCACTACACCGTGAGTATGAACGTGAGCGTCTCTTTAGTGCTAAAGTGATGTGTGGTGTAACCGCGCTAAAAGAGATACGTGCCCTCACCTTTCCTGCGATTACATATTATAATGAAGAATACTATAAGTATGTTATTCGTCGTGGTGGATCTGTAGATGCGACTTTACGCCAATCAAAGAGTGATATACCGAGTTGGTTCACACTTTCACAGGAGGTGAAACTCAAATATTATTGTTTTGAACGTACGATGATGTTACATCCAGTGAGTGGGGCACATTTATACATTCGCTACGCCACTCGTGATTATGGTATGCAGCGTGAGGAAGCTTATGAACGGTGGTCTGCACTCTCAGATTTACAAAGAGCCGCATTAAATTTTTGTTTCTATTCACCAATCGCAGAACCTCCACGGGGAACATCCGCATTTCGAAGATTTTACATTAAACAATGTTTTCGTCACGGTCTTGTGGTGTCTGGGAAAGCGTCTGGAAATCATGCCTTCTTTCTGCGTACAAAGAAATTGTGGATGAATATGAATGCGGATGAACGGGCACAGTTTGATGATACCGACTCCTTCGCATCTGTGTTTCCACTACAACCCACAACTTCTATAGTGAAAAATGGACGTACAACTTCAGACACAAATCGTGTTTCTTCTTCTTCTTCTTCGGCTACTGCTGTGATAAGTTCCAACTCTCTGGATGATGAGGATGAGGATGATGTGACTGTTGGGGACTCCTACTACTTTGAAGATGAACCTATCGACGATAGTGATGATCATTTAGAAAGTCACATTGTCAAAGCACATAAAATGACACCTCAGAAGAAGGAAGTACATGCTGTTTTTACTGTCTAGCGAGAGAAAGAAAGAGAGAGAGAGAGAAAGAGAAAGAGAAATTTGTACGACGAGGACATTTTTTATTTGTTTTGAATTTTTTTTTCTTTATATAATCACTATTGTTGTTCTTCCAGGAGTTGTGTGGTGCGACGGTGGAAGAACGTGTACCCTTGCGATGGGTTAGATGATGATGAATCACACATGCTTTGTATAGTTACCAGGAAGATTAGATGAGAGTTGAGGGTATTTGGTTGCCCTATAACCTGTACGTATTTAAAGAGGTTCAAGAACCCAATTGTGGGGATATAATATGGGAGGAATTGTATTGTTTGCATTATTAGCAAAGAAAAAAAAAAGAGGGAGAGGGCGTGAAAAAAAAAAAAAAAAAGACTGATAACGACCTATACGGTCGTTATGTGTTTGTACGAATCATTTATATATTTGTTTTTTTTTTTTTCTAATATGTTTTTTCTTCTTTGGTTTTTCTTTCCTTTCTTCCTTAAATATATATATATTGCTGTCCCATATGTCTGTATTTGGAGACCTTGTGGTGGGTGGGGAAAAAAAAAAGAAGGATTACACCATGGCTACAAGTAGGCAGCATGATCATTGTATGAAACTACTTTCCTCTCATAATTTGAGAGATCGTTATCTTTATACCGAAATACTACTGGAACAGAGCCGCTTTTCACGAACACCACCTCCTGTGAAGTGTTCAACAACAACAACAACATATACGCCAGCATACAAGTCCTTGAGAACATCACGGTTGAGTTTTCATCAAATATCCTCCCCCTCAAGTGAAGGTTTTACACATACATGGCACTCTGCTGGTAAAGCTGGTAGAAGTAATTACTTTTCTGTTCCAACCTCAAATCTTTCACGTAGTTCATTAATGGAATTGGAAGCTCGACGAGAAGAAAGACGGAGGATTGAATCTTTACGGCGTAAAATAGATAATGAATAAACCCTCATTTCATTTGCATTACACAACCACGCACTCATATATATATTTATATTGAGGGGATATAATGAGGAGTAGGTTAGTGAGAAGATGAAAGAAAGAGTGAGGAGTGCTATGGTCTTGTTACTTGTACTAATAATATATATTATTTTTTTTTTTAACTTTCTTGTACACTTTGAGATTTGGTATGCAGTTCACCCATAATTTATTACTCCTTTCATTGCTGTAGACACTTGATTACTACTTGTCAGGTAGTAGAATACACAGGGAAGCAGTAGGAGTTTATTATGTTCTTGATATTGTTCTTTTTTTTCTTTGTTTTTTTTTTATTTGTTTAATGATATCATTGAAGAATTTATAGCGCTGATATATTGTTGTTGTTGTTTTCCGTTTATTGTGTTATTACTGTTTTTAAAGTTTAGTTTTTTTTTTTTTTTTTGCGTGACTTCTTCTATTCAAAGTAAAACAAACGACAACAAAGAAAAATAAATAAATATATATATAGATATATATATTTATATCTGGAGCTCCTTTTTTTTTGTCGGTACGCTCTTAATTGATGGATAAGGAAGTGAATGGTTTCTCGGGGAGAATTGGGTATCCCGCCGCAAAGGAAACTCATGCTCAACTCTCTCGTTTGTTGGATGTTCGTGCCGGCCGTAAAAATGTAGACGGAGGACGATCGCCGTGTTTGATAGCGTTTGAGATCTCCACACGACAACAGCGGTATATGAAGGCGGCACTAAACGCTATACGGCCCATTGGTAACACACGTTTGCCTTACTTTCAGGCGGATTATCTTTTAGAAACTAGTGAGTTCTACCCAACCCTAAAGTGGAAGGAAGTAGCAGAGTGTATAAATAGTGGTCCAGCCGTTGAAATATATTTTTATATATATGATAGTAAACGTATGACTCCAAATGATTATGAAGAATATTATCAACGAGTTATTAAAGATGAATATAAAGATATTCTTGGATTTTTCACAACTGTGGATGGTCTTGTTCCGTTAGTGGATTATCTGCATGCCAGACACTTTGGTGGGATGCCACCCCCTACTACCTTTCTTACTCCACAGGGAAGAATGTCAAGTATACAGAGAGTTGGGGATGGAAGAAGTGTAGATGCAGAAACAAGAGGAACAGCAACAGTAACAAATCCATGCAAACATCGAACACGTATTCTTTATGGAAATGATGTGGAAACTTCTGTAAAACGTCGTCAAGATAAATACAGTATGCAACTTACTTTGCGAGATCATGGTTTGGCATATATTCGAGGAACTTCTGGATATTCTTCAGATGAATTAAAACAATGGAGAAGTAAAGAAGGTATTCCTTTTCCTGTTATTGTTAAACCTGTAAGTGGTGGTGGTTCTGAATATGTTTCACTTTGTCGTAATGATAATGATATTGATACAGCTTTTCTCTTATGTAACGATGCGAGTACCGTACAATGGACACAAGCCTCTCATATGGTACTTCAAGAGTATATAGAGGGACAAGAGTATGTGGTTAATGTTGTCAGTTATAATGGACGACATGCTGTTTCGGATGTATGGAAAAGTTGGAAGTTTCCTGCTGAATTAACTATGCCACGAAACATTACAGATTTATATGGAGATTCTAAATCATCTCATCAAACAAAAACTCCTATTTCTTCCTCTTTGGAATGTAATACTACAGCATTATTGTATGATCGACTTGAATTTGTACATAATCTGGCTGAATTACATGAAGAGAGTGAAGAACGACGTGTTGTATCATATGTTCTTCAATGTATTGATGCTTTGGGTATGCGGCAAGGGAGTTCACATTGTGAAGTTCGTGTGGATTACAGACCTGGAAGTAAGAATAAGGATAAACCTGTTCTTATTGAACTTAATGCAAGAGTACTTGGCGATACTCCCCGTTCAACACCTTTTGTGGGTTATGATCAAATAATGCTTATGGTATATTTGGCTTATTGTGCAGCATGTATACCTGAAGATCACCTTTTATGTGGTAGTGGAAATGGTATAAGTAGAAATGGTAGTAGTTCAGGTAGTAATATGAAAAGTAATGAAGTAAATAAAATGAATGATACTCGCAGTATGCTCCCATGGCCACCTGTACCACTTCTTTATCGTTCACTCTCATCCAATACTACATGTCATGTGATTTTTTTACGTACGAAAGAAGAATCATATTTCTGTACAACTGGTTTAAATTATTTGAGAAAATTACCTACATTTAAATATATTTCAAGGAATGCCATCTTTGATGGACAAAATAGGTTAAGTTATCGATACCTTCTTAGAAAAACAACAGATCTCTTAACCTCACCTTGTGCGTGTGTAATGGAAGGTACTGAAGAGGGTATTCGTCGAGATTATGCGATTATTCGTGAAATGGAGAATAAAGATATCAGTTCCTGGAATGTATTCCTAGATAATGCACTCGTTGCTAAAGGATTGGATGTGCTGTGTTTAACGAAATCCGCCGACCGTGTCTCTGCTCGGAATTCCCCTGCTGCCACTAAGAATAATAACAACAGTAATAACAATAACAATAAGTACAGCAGTGATCTGTTGGAGCGGGGCGCTACACGGAAAGCTGCAGTTGAAATGGTAAAGCAAATCTTTTCTGTGGAGCCTGTACTCTACGTACCGGTAAGTTACGTGAATAAATTGGAGCTTCTTGGTCTCTTTTATCTCCTCGATGACAATACAAACGCGGCATTGTACTCTTGATCTGGTGAATGGATACTGTGTAAAGTTGAACCTAAAGTGGGTGGGAGGAGAGAGGGGAGAGGGGTGTGATAGTATAGTGGGAGATTCTAAAGATATATATATATATATATATATATATATATATATATATATATCACTTGCGTGGTAATAAGTACGGCAAAGGAAGTAAAAAGAAAAAAAAGATTTCACTGAGCGTCTTTTTTTGCCGTTTTTTTTTTTTGCTTTTCGTTTTCCCGTTTTTGCATTTTTTTTTTTTTTCGTCAGTCTGATGATGGGTAAGGTGGGTCACGGTTAACTCATGTTTTCTGGATATTATTTGCTTCGTTACTCTATTTCACTGTTGTTATTTGTGTTTGTTTTATTATTATTGTTTGTTTTTCGTCATTCGAAAAACTGTGAAGAAATATGAAATGAGGGCTGATCTAATTCTGTTTCTTCCGTCGTATGCCTTTGCTGTCTCTATGTTTTTAATTGTGTGAAATGTGTTTTGCTGCAGAGAGTGAATAAATCTACTGCTTTTCTTTCTTGTTGGGTTGTTGTTGTTTTTTTCTCTTTTTCTCCTCCCTTCCCCTATCCCTTTAGGAGTACCTTCACACCGTCTGTTGTTTTTCTTTCTTTTCTCTCTCTGTGTGTGAGTAGATGGGGGATAGAGATCGTACTCATTGTGTTCAGTCGTAGTTTTTTTTTTTTTTTTTCTTAGAGGAAGCGAGTTGTGCACATTCTCTAATTATTATTATTATTATTATTATTATTATTATTATTATTATTATTAAACAGTATATTTATTGGTGTGCGGAACTATGAGTATAGAAGTAATGAAAACCAATCCACCTCCCCCCTCTCCTTTTTTTTATTATTATTATGTTTTTTTCTCTTTTATGGGCTTTTGAGTAGGGAATGATATGGCCTTATGTTTGTTGATGTCATTGCTATTGAATATCCTTTCTCTCACTTTATCTATTAATGAATATTCTCTCAAAGGGTATGTTTTGAACAGCCCAATAATTCCCATTCCTCTACGAATTCGTGTACGGTGGGGAGGGAAGATGGGTTTTAAGAGGCTTTCTTCAGTAATCCCCCTTTTTTTTTCTTTTTCTTCAGTACGTATGGATAATGATTTGTGAGGAGTTTATTTTGAAAACAACACTATCCCAGCTCTTATATACTGTTCTGGTAATTAAGATGCTGAAGGAGATGGGGAAGTGATGAGGTGTGTTGTTGTCTTTTTTTTTCGCTTTTTCTACTTATTATTACTATTATTACTATTATTATTACTCTCTTTGGATGTTCTTAGGAGAACTAGGGTTTAGACTATTCATTCCTTCACCTTGCTTATTTATTTTATTTTCCCTCCTATTATTTCTCACCACCAGGATTCATCTGAAAAGAGTGTTATACATATATATATACATAGACAATATATTAACAAATGACAGCACTAACGGCTGTTGCTGTAGTTGTTTGTGGATCATCCGGTACAGGAAAGACCACAATTGGCTCTCAACTCGCACAGTCAATTGGCTGGCGCTTCGTAGACGCGGATGATTACCACCCATCAAGCAATGTGCACAAGATGGCATCCGGCATCCCACTCGATGACAATGACCGTCTCCCATGGCTACAACGGCTGCGGCATGAGGTGATTGAGAATATTAAACCAACATCTACTACTACTATTACTACTACTGGAGCTGCTGATAATAATAATGATAATAATACTAATAATAATAGTACAGGGAAGGATGAAAAGGAAGAAGGTGGTGGTGGTGTGGTGATTGCATGCTCGGCACTGCGCAGAAAGTATAGAGATGTGCTTCGTGGTAGTGAGTCGAATAACACTAAACACAACGTGACTGTTTTCTTTGTGGAACTGGTGGGTGATATTGCAGTTGTGGCGCAGCGATTGCAGGGACGCCAACATGCATACATGCCGCCTACTTTGTTAACATCGCAGTACGCCATTTTAGAGCCGCTGCAGACTGAGGAGGAATTGGGGATGAAAGTATCGGTGGAATTGGAACCACAAGAGATGGTACATGCCGTAGTGGTAGAACTAAGGCAGAGAGGTCTACTCCAACGTTAGTGCATATACATGGGAGATGGATTCTTCTTTGCGGTTTGATTAAAGCCACTCACGGCAATTTGAAATATCGGGGATATTTATGATGGTATGTTTTTTTTTTTTTTTTGATGATGTTGTTGTTGTTTTTTTTTTTTCCTGATCTGAATATAGGAATTAATGGTTTTGTTAATTTTTCATACATGCGTGAATATTATTATTATTTTTTTTTTTTTTTCGTTTCCTTCTTTATTTTTTGTGGACTCTTTCGGCGCGCTACCCGATTATTATTATTATTAATATCTCTCATACTCTAAAGGAAATTAGAAAAAACAAAACAACCATTGTGTGCGAATACGAAATACACGTAAAGGAAAAAAAAAGAAAAGAAAAAAACCTCCCGTACAAACCCACACACGCAGTCACACACGTACACTCCTATATATATACATATATAAAGGTATTACATACATACGGTCAAACATTACCATTCTCTAATGGCGGCTAAAGAGTATGAAGGCACAGCGCGGCTCTCACTTGATGCCGTTGTGGGATTTGGTGGCCGTGTGCCCAACAGTGTCATTGCACACCCCGATGGTGAACATTTGGTGTACGCACTGGGAGCGTGTCTTGTGATTCAGAAATTAAATGATCGCACGGCCTCTGACTTTCTGTATGGACACAATGATATGATCAGCTGCTTCACCGTGAGCAACAGTGGGCGATATGTGGCTTCAGGTCAAATGACACATCCCGGATTTCAGGCAGATGTCTGCATTTTTGATTTTGCAAAACGTCGTATGATTCATCGTATGATTTTACATAAAGTGAAGGTTCAAGCTTTGGCGTTTTCAAGTAATGAACAGTACTTGGTCTCTATTGGTGGTGTTGATGATAAAGCAGTTGTGGTATGGGATGTCTCTACAGGACGACCACTTTGTGGAGCCCCAGCACATCACACAGAGTCTAAAGCGGTTGCATTCTTTAATAACAGTAATGAAAAACTTATTACAGCTGGTGTCGGATCACTTCGTGTTTGGACAGTTGATCCAGTGGACCGAAAAATGAATGCAGAAGATGTTAGTTTGGGTAATATTCGTCGTTCCATTACTACTATTGCTGTGGAATCTACAGACCGTTATGCCTATTGTGGAACTACATCAGGTGATGTTTTATGTATTCTTTTAGAAAGGAATGCTAATACATGTAAAATGAGTGGACCACAAAATAAACTTTCAGGAGGTATTGTTTCTATGAATTTTAATGAATCTGGTGATGTTTTGGTGGGAAGTGGTACTGGTGAATTAACTCTTCTTTCCAAGATTAATTTAACCGTATTGAAACAAGTTTCTGTACAAGGTGCTGTTACTGGTATTGCATTGGTTCCACAAGGATATATTATTGGTACGATGGAAAGTAATGTATATCTTGTTGAAAGTGGTAATTTCCATGCAGAATTACGTCTTACTTGTCACAGTAATACTGTAAATGATGTGGTTTTCCCTGAAGGTTTCAGTGCTCTATTTGCGACATGTTGTGGTTCTGATATTAGAGTTTGGAATGCTTCAAATACCAATGAACTATTACGTATTCAAATTAATGGTCTCTTATGTAACTGCATTCAATTCACAAAGGATGGTTCTATGATAGTATCTGGATGGGATGATGGTAAACTTCGTGCCTTTGGTCCTCAATCAGGTAAACTAGTCTTTGCTGTTAATGATGCCCATAAAAAAGAAGGGATAAAAACTGTGAATGGAAGTCCTGCAGGAGTGACAGCAGTTTGTGCTGATCATTCATCACAGCGTATTATTTCTGGTGGCGCAGATGGTCTTGTACGAGTATGGTTGGTACAAGGTAATAATTGCGTATTGGAAGCTTCTATGAAAGAACACAAAGCAACTGTAAATGCCATTTGTATTTCAGAAGATAACACAGAGTGTGTTAGTGCCAGTGATGATGGCAGTTGTATTGTGTGGGATTTAATTCGACATGTTCGTCGAGATGTTATTTACTCTCAGACAAGATTCCGTGCGGTGGAGTACTTTATAGACGGAAGTCAACTTCTCACCACAGGAACAAATAAAAACATCACTTGGTGGGATGTGGTGGACTGTGGGGCCATTCGCGAGATCCCTGGCAGCAAAACAGGGGAAGTGAATAGTTTATCCATCGCCGCCGACGGCCGCTTCTTCGTCACTGGCGGTGATGATCGCATTGTGAAGGTGTGGGGATATGATGAGGGCGTCTGCGTGGCGGTGGGACTCGCCCACAGTTGCAATATCCGCAAAGTGCGGGTCTCGCCTGATGGAAAGAAAATTGTTTCCGTTGGCGATGAGGGGGCCATTATGATTTGGTCCGTCGGCGAACTCAAAATAAATGCACTCTAACTACACACATATATACACACAGTTATCATCATTATCATCATCACTATCATGATCGTTATCATCTTTTGTGCTAAACGAGATGATGAGGAAGAGAGGGGTGAGATGCGAATGGAAGAAGGAGGATATATATATATATATATATATATATATATATGTATATATATATATATATGTCTGTGTGTGTTTGGTTTTACTATTTTTTTTCTTGTTGTGTGCGTTTTTTTTTTTTCTCTTATTTTACTTTTTCTCATGTACCAAGAATAAAAGAAAAGTGGAAACTCAGCGGATATAGACAACGCATCAAAGAAAAAATTGGTATGGCCTGAAATAAAAAAGGAAAACAAAAGTTCAAAGAAATGGAACTATATTATAGATGATGAGAGTTATCAACCCTCTCAAGAAGGAAAAAAAAAAAATCCCGCAGGTAATATAAGAAATACCATGAGTAGACAGAAAGAAGAAAAGGAGGGAGGTGAATGGAAAAAAGTATTCAATATCAAGAACGATGACTCTGTGAAATAAGCGAAAGGGAAAGAAAGTGTGAAGTTCCCACTTAATTATAGAGTGATCTGGGAAGAAATAACTACAACCAAACGGAAAGAATAAGAATAAAAAAAAAACAATACGATAAACAATCACCTAAAGAAAGAGTCAATGGAGAAAAGATATAAAGAATGAGAAAGTGAGAAAGAGAAAGAGAGAGAGAGGGGAAAAAATGGTGATGAGGAAAGGGAGTAGAAAACAAAGTCTAGTCTCTTTACCTAATTACTTTATAGGGTTCCATGATAAAGTATTCATTTTTGTTTCCTTTATCTTCCTTTTTGTACCTTCTCAATTTCCTTTTTTTTTTTTTCTTTGGTAGAGGAAGAGGTCAGGAAACTTTCTGTGCTTACCTGATATTATTACCAATTTGTTCTCACTTGCGTCTCGTTCTCTCTTTTTTTTCATTTTCCTTCTGTTTTTTTTTTTTTTCTTTCTTTCCTCATATTGGTCGTTGCTATTACTACTACTATTACTATTATTACTGTGCCCTTCAATTTGTAAGACGCAGCTCTTCCCAGTATCAAATGTAATAAGGTACGTGTATGTATGTATGTATATACACATATTGTTGGCGGTTGAATTGCAATATGAAAAGGTCGTTTCTTTTCTTTTTTCCTCATTGCTCTAGAGAGCTTTATGTAACTACGATATATATATATATATATATATATATATATATATATCCCTATTATTACTGTTTCTTACAAATGTATATCTAGGAACCATACATAATGGTGTTTTTTTTTTCTTTTCTTTTCTTTTGGTGGTGTCTTTCCTGTCATTTGAACCAATTGAAGATTATTAACTGCGTTTTTTATTTTTCTCGTTCTTTTTGTCATTTTTTGTTTTTTTTTTAGTGTTTCTTCTAATCATTGTAGTTTCTCATAGTATTGGATATTTTGACTAGAAATGGCGCAGAACATAAATACAACTGAAGGAGACCAGAATATAGATGTAAATAGGAATAATTCACAGGAAGATGATGGTGGAATTCAAAACTCTATTTATCAACAGTATGTCTTTGTTTCAGCTAAGAGTCTGCGGATAGATAAGTTCCGTCTTGAGAATGTCGCCATGTGTTTTGCCACCTTTTGCTCCATTATATTTTCCATTGTCGCATTAGCAACTCCCATAACTCACCTTAAGGAAAACAATATTGAAATTTCAATTACTGCTTGGGGTATAAAAAGATGTATACAATCAAACTGTAAATGGAATTCTATTGACTCCATATGTCCTATATTTGCTTCAGCTATATCCTTATTTGTTGCCATGATCTTTGTACATTTGTTCTTTGCTCTTACGGCGTTTATAATCATTGGTTTTATGGTATTTGGCCGTATAGTGTGGTCTAAGTATTTAGGTATAGTTTTTGCCTTTTTCTCTTTAGTGTTGGGAATTGTAGATGCACTCACTGCTGTGAGTATTCAGCTTACTTACCTTTGTAGTGACATTCCGCTGGACCGTATGGGGTTCCGATATGGTCCTGCCGTTATAGTGATGTTCACAGATATCATTCTGTTGGGTTTGACTAGTATAGTATATATTGCCCGTCTTTGCTGTTTCTGTACTCCTCGCTACTTTACAGAGTAGACAGAAAGAAAGAAAGGGAAAAGAAAAAAGAAAAGAAAAAAAAAAGGATTTTGTTTCGAAATAATAATAATAATAATAATAATAATAATAATAATAATAGTGGCAATGATAACAGATGGCAATATATATATATATATCATTCATTTATTTCTTCTTTTTATTTATTTATTTATTGTACCCATTTGTTATAAGGCTATTCAATGATTTTCTGAAATGTTATGCACTAATGAGCAAACGGAAATGTGTTTTACTTTTGTTTGCTCTCTCTTTTTTTATTATTTTATTTTATTTTTACTTCTTCTGTTTATACAAAACTACACCAAATGATGATGTCACTTGTTAACCACCATTACTGCAGAGCATTTCTGCTAGTTAAGAACAGAGTCTCGCATAGAGACAGCAAAGAAAAAAAAAAAAGAAAAAAAAAATAAAAATAAAATAAACAATGAAAACAAAATATGAGCAGATTCACTGTGCTTGCTATTATTCAAATAAATGCGTCTGACTCATATATTACTTCTGAGATCTGTTTTTTTGACAATTTACTTGATGATTTGGTGGATATTCTATCTTTAAATGATGAGAACATCCGAAACGCTCTTGGGTTTTGCGCTCTGTATAGACACAGACAAACAGGTAGAGAGAGAGAGAGAGAGAGAGGGAGAGAGAGAGTTAGAAAGAAAAGGATTGTACATGTAGTGCCATGACAAGTATCATTATTCCTCGTTTTTCTTCTTTTGCTTTTTTTTTTTTTCTTAATTCTTTCTCTACAATAGTCTAGTTCTCTAAGTACATATAAATAAAAAGAGAGAAAGAAAGAAACATGCTGCGCCGTACTTTTCAGTCTTTGGGCAAAGTGCTTGTCGTTGCGGAGGTGTACAACGGCAAAGTTACCGCTGCCACGTTGTCAGCCGTCACTGCGGGATTGAAAGTTGGGCCCGTCAGTGCTCTTGTGGCCGGTAAAAATGGAGAAAAGACTGCTGCTGATCTTGCCAAAGTAAAAGGTGTAGCGGAGGTACTCGTGGCGAAGGGCGATCACTACGATAATGGTTTGCCGGAGGAGTACGCACCCCTCATTGCGGCCGTGGCGAAGGATGGTTACTCACATGTCTTTGCTCCCAGCTCCGCATTTGGAAGGAATGTACTCCCGCGTGCGGCCGCAAAGGCGGATGCGATGCCAATAACAGATGTGACGGATGTAAAAGACGCATCTACGTTTGTGCGGCACATGTACGCCGGCAATGTTGTCTGCACCGTCACTTCTTCCGATAATGTGAAGTACGCCACTATTCGCGGCACCAGTTTTGAGCGGGCGGCGGTGGATGGCGGCAGTGCGGCGGTGAAAGACGTCGCGTCGGTGCCGCCCGCCGTGGGAACCTCCAAGTGGATTCAAGACGTGGTGGAGACTAGCGACAAGCCGGATCTGCAGACCGCCGCTAACGTGATTGTCGGCGGACGTGGATTGAAGAATGCGGAGAACTTCAAATTATTGTATGAACTTGCACAACCGTTAAAGGCAGCCGTGGGGGCAACACGTGCGGTGGTGGACGCCGGCTATTGCCCGAATGAAATGCAAATTGGACAAACCGGTAAAACAGTGGCGCCGAACTTTTATCTCGGCTGTGGCGTATCGGGAGCCATTCAACACGTGGCGGGGATGAAAGACTCAAAGGTTATTGCTGTGATTAACAACGACGCCGATGCGCCGTTTTTTCAGGTGGCGGATTACGGTTTAGTGGAGGATCTCTTCGTGGCGGTGCCGAAACTCACGGAAATGGTGAAGAAGTAGAGTAGTTTCACCGCTTACAAAAAAAAAAAAAAGAAGACTTGAGCGAAGAAAAGAAAAAAAGGGGGGTGGAGTGTTCAGAAATATACCCGTGTGAAGTGGGTGGAAAAAAGAAAAAAAACAATTACAAAGAGGGTTCAGAAGGAAAATAGTTGGATGAGGGAAGAGAGAAGATATATATATATAAACTCTCTGAGGAGCGGATATTGGTTTAAAACCATGTGAAAATGACAAGATACTCGGTGGAAATAGGGTAGAGTTATGTTGTCATTCATCTTTTTTTTTTTCTTTCTTGATGTAGTTCTTTTTTTTTATCTTTGCGAGCGATTTCTCTTTAGTAGTTTTGATGATTACAGTGTGTTTTTATTTCTACCAATTAAACAAAGAAGAAGAAAAAGGAAGCAATACGGTGAGACTCATGCCTTGATGTCCTCACTCTGTATTTGTTTGTTTCTTTCTTTGTTTCGGGTGTTAGTCTTTTCTTTTCTATCATATTTTTCATTTATAAAATACCCCTGATGATTTTAATCTCAGTCTCTCTCTATCTCTATCTCTTACTGATACACATATATTATTATTATTTTTACTTTTTACTTTTATTTTCTTTACTCATGCATTGTAACAAAAATAAAAATAAAAAGGAAGGTAGATTCACTACAACAGTCAGAGATAAAAAAGATAAAATAAAAAAAGATAAAATAATGTTTCGTTTCAGTAGACGACCACTTGACAAGGTCCCTTTTGCAACACTCTTTGGGTATAACACTATTCTTCAAAATGTATTTTCGGCACCTGTTCAGAAAGAGGCAATTGTGGTAGAGCTTCCAGGGAAAAAAGTCGAGAGTTACACATATGGAAGACTTCAAAAGGATGTACTTTCAATGGCAAACGTTTTTACACAGAGAAGAGAAACTGTAATGCATGCACATGAAATGCCATCACTTAGCTGGTTACAGACACCTCGACCAGATGATGTACATAGTGTCTTTTCTGATAATGATGGTGATGATGGGATATCAAGTTTTGAATTCAGAAAAGATGATGGAAGATATAATGTGGCTATACTAGGTGAAACTGGTTATTCATTTGTTGTCTCACTTCTAGCAGCATGGTCTCTTAATCAAATGGCTGTTCCTTTGTCAGTGGCACAGAAATACACAACAGAATTATCTTATATTCTTGAGCATAGCAAAAGCAGAACCGTAATGGGTGATATGATATTATTAAAAGCAAAATTTCCTACAGAATACGATATGCTTATGGTTGGAAATTTAACTAGCCTAAGAGAATTACGAGCCGCATCACCTAATACTTATAATGTGGAAACTATGTTTGATGTTAAAACAATTCTTGGTCAAATTCAACAACGACGTGAAAGGGCTGGATCCGAAACAGAAATGCTACACCCAGAGCATCTCCTATCAGAGGAAGAAAGACAACATATGAATGATGCTCATGATATATTAGATCGATTGGCTAAAGAAAAAGGCGCATCTGAAGAACTTCGTGAGGCTTTAAGGCAAGAAATGATACGTGAACACTTTAAAGCCCATTGTGTTGTTACAGATGCTGGTGATGGATCCGGTTTATATTATGATACGGATCATTTGGATTCACTTAATCCTGTTCATCGTCGATGGGTGGAAGATTATACCTCGCGTCCAAGCAAACATGATGATTGTGTAATGATTTATACCTCAGGAACCACTGCAAATCCAAAAGGTGCAGTACATACACATGCTAGTGTTAGTAATATGGTAAATGTATTACAGTCTGCTTGGGAATGGTCAGAAAATGATACGATTCTTCACATGTTACCAATGTATCATATTCATGGCCTTGTGAATATTCTTTTATGCTCATTAGCATCAAATGCTCGTTGTATCTTAACAAAAGCAGATGATTTAACTCGTATAGCCCGTCGTTTAGAACGAGGAGATATTTCACTTGTTATGGGTGTACCTACTATCTATACAAAAATGATTGCTGCCATTCGAAAAGAAATGTCTCCTATTGAACAAGAAGGATTTAAAAAAATTGTATCAAGCAAAATACGACTAATGGTTTCTGGTAGTGCACCACTTCCAGTTCCTATTCTTAATGAATTTCGTGAAATAAGTGGTCATACATTATTAGAACGATATGGTATGACTGAAATTGGAATGGCATTTAGTCAACCTCTTCGACCTATCTCTAAACGTATTCCAGGAACTGTAGGAATACCGCTTCCAACTGTACGAGCATTTGTACAAACCACAGTCGTGGAATCAGACTCAACAAAAGATGAAAAGACAGAAACTACTATTGATAATAAAACAAAAGAAGAGTATGATGAAATTGGTCATCTCGCTATTGCTTCTGAATCATTATTTGATCGGTATTGGAATAATCCGGTGGCAACAAAGAAAGAGGTTGTTGTGAGCCAAGAAGGTCATCGCTACTTTAATACAGGAGATACTGTTGGAGTACGAAAACCTCTTAACAGTGATGAGGATGCTGTATTTACAATTCTGGGTCGCTCAAGTGTGGATATTATTAAATCACGTGGATATAAAATATCTGCGTTAGAAATAGAAGCTGTTCTGTTATCACGTAAAGATCTCTTCTTTGAGATTGCCGTTGTGGGGTGTACAGACAACACTTTGGGAGAAATGATAGTGGCTATCATTGCACCACAACCTACTGTACTGCAGAAGTGGAATATCCCATCTGATTTTGACCGGTTTGAGTCAACAGAATTAAATAATGAACTAAAGGAAGTGGCTTCTGCTCTTCTTGCACATTATAAGTGCCCAGAGAGGTTTATTATTCTCCCAGAGATTCCACGGAATCCTACAGGAAAGGTTAACAAGAAAAGTCTCAAGGAAAAGCTCTCCCTGAACTGAAGAAGATGAGATGTACACGTGGAATCTAAAAGAAAAAAAGAGTATATATATATATATATATATATATATATATGCTTTTATCTTTTTTTCGTTTCTTCGAAATAAAACACTATTAAATATGATTCCCTGCACCTCACTCAACTCAACAAAAGTAAACATAACGAAAGGAACGTTAATAATAGTGTTTCTAGGATTGATTATCGTTTAGGGAAGCGTTGATTCCTCATATCATTCTTTTCTTTTTTTTGTTTTTGTTGTTGTTGTTCTTCTTCTTTCCGTCTTGAATTCTTTGAGTGAGTTGCGTTACTTCACATAGTTTTTTTTTATTGTTACTCTTATTTCGTTTCTTTTTTTTCTCGTTCTCTCTCTCTCTCTCTCTTTCTTGACAAATTGAAGATAGAAAAATAAATAAATCAATTGAAAAAAAAAGGTAAAACCGTGGCAAAACTGGTGTTTGATAACCAATAAAAACTAATTTTTTTTTTATAGATTTTTATTTTTATTTTATTTTTTTTCCTTCTGATTTTACTCCACTCATCAAGTGAGTGCGGGATAAGAGGCAATATCAATGAATAAAGACGAAAATAATCATGGCGGTGGTCTGCACTCAAGAGAAAATGTGTTGGAACACATTTTTGAAAGTGTAGAGCAAATGCGGAATCAACGGAGTGCGTGGAATGAAGAACTAGGAGATTTTTTTCTCACGGAGGCTAAACAGAAGCGAGAAACGGAATCTCTGACGAGGCGTGTAAAGGCTGGTCAAGCGATTACAGAAGCGGGTGGGGCTTTTCATAAATGGATGGAACGACGTGTAGGGTTTGGTCTTGGGGAAGAAATGATACGAGAATGGTTTCATATTGATACGCTATTAGCATTAACTCCATTTGTAGCCTTTGTCCCTTGTCCACGTTCACTCTCTGAAAAGGGAAAGAAAGAATTAGTACAAGCCGTGGATGCGTTAGAACTCATACGATTTATGGTTCAAACAGTACCGGTGCATTTTCCACTCTCAAAGATTGCACCAACATTTGTTTCTTCACCTTATCATCAACATGAGACGGAACGTATATCGAAATCTAATCTTGGGGATTTATCGTATGTTGGATTACCTTGTACATATGGAGGTGATGCGTTAAATCTTATTGCAAATGATGTTTTCTTATCTTGTGCACTTTACCGAACTCCTTGTCTTTTTCTTAATGATCATGTACCACGTGTCTCACTATGTATTCATTCTATTACAGTTGGTGGATTATGTGTGGCTGCGGAAGTGGCATGTAATATTTATATCGCTGAGAAATTAAACCTGGATGATATTATTCTGGAGTGTAAAGAATCTTCTGAGGAGATAACAGCATTGGCATTAGCATTAAAAAATTTTGTGGAAGGACAAATTGTTCCATCTATTGGAAAACGTTCCTTTCATGCTTTATTACTTGGTGAATTACCCATAGGAGAAAAAGATTCTTTAATAACATCTAATACACACTTCTCTTTGTTGAATTTAGATACACTGGATGAGTGTGAATTTGAGTGTTTTACACAAGATGATATATTTACTATAGCTCGGAGAATGACGAATGCCCATGATGAGAATAAAGTTCTTCCTACTGTATTGCGTTTCTTAAAGCGACGACCTCTCACGGGATGCAAGTCTGAGATTAAACCACATGAAATCCCAAAAATGAAATCCATCGAATGAGGTGTTAAAACACCCCTCAGAAGAAATTATCGTCTGATATATATATATGTGAAAAGTGATTGGAAATTCATTTCTAATTATAGACACCCAAAATAAAAAAAATGAAAAAAAAAAACGAATGATACAACTTTTCTTCAATGACATGCTATTCAGTGGTATTATGTTATTTCTCTTTGTTTTTATTGTTACTATTTGATGTATCGTATTACGTTATGGTATAGAGTGTATTCTTTCCCTCTATTCTTTTTTTTTTCCATTTATTTACATACAACTTTCTGTGTATACATATTGTGTATTTATTCTCTACTCAATCTCACTCTCTCTATTTCTCTATCTAACATTAATGTAAAAATAAATAAATAAATAGTAGGCTTTCCTCTTAATGGATGTCAGAGAAGAATACGTGGGAAGTGAGGAGCGTAGGACGTTCTTAACAAATGATCTTCTTAGAGACATGGTGGGAATATATTTACGATCTATTGGAATGAATGAAGTGGCTACCAAGATGTACGCTGAGGCAAAGACCATACATAATAATAAATCAGAAGCCGATGAGACTAACGAAAGATTACTGTTATTACTTATGAATAGATGTGCGGTACCGCGACCGACAACTTCTCACAGTATCCCACCATGTGAGTTGGAGTGGATTTTATCTCCTCATACCACTACAAGAGCAGTCATACGTCGTTTACTCTCTAATGCCAAAAAGAAATTAACACGGCAATTTCACTCCATGCATTTACCACGCCCAGATGAACTCTCTCAACAACACATATTATACTCCAATCATGTAAATATGTGGTCACCGCAGGATGATGCAGATGCTTTATATGTGAAAGGAAAAAAAGGAAAAGGACCTGGAATGCTTCTCTTTGGTACATTAAATCAACTCATAGAAGAATTAACACATGTAAGTGTATTACCACTTTCTTCCCTCTCTGAGGAAAAAGTATTAGCACAAGAAAAGTTTACATTTACATTTTTACGTCAACATCGTTATTTTGCTCTTTCTCATACTGTACTTGCAAAGTTGATGGAACGTTTTCTTCTCCCATTCTCTATAAAACTTACATTTGAGCATTTTGAGGGACATGGTATCTCTATACACGCCCCAGGTACCTCTCTTTCTAGAATTATTTCTACTTCACAAGTAACAAATAATGTTACTGAGAATAAAGAAGAAAATAATAATAATCATAATTATCATAATCATAATCCATTAAGTCGCTTCTCACCTAGTGCTTCACTATGGTTATGTGTATATCGTAAAATACAATTGCGCGTGTTATCTGTTTTAACACTTTGGTTGCATAAATATCCTCAACACTTTGATGAAGAGATGCGTCAATGTCTTAGTCTCTTCCTAGAAGACGCTTGCTATACTTCTCAACCATGGTCTGATTGTCCTTCTCAGTTAACAGAAATGGCAGAGTTTTTACGGTGTTATTTAACAGAGAAAGATAATAAATCATTACAGAGAGAACAAGAGTGTAGTTCCATAAAATGTTCTTGTCAGTCCTTCTGCCAGATCCCACCAACATTGGAATCATTTCCAATAACCTGTACAAAAAGAAATACACATCAAACCAATTCATCTATAAAAACTTCTTTAGATGAACCTCTATCAATTCTTTCATTAACGAATACAAAAGATTTTACTATACAAGGTGAATCTCTTGATGATACTTTTATTACAAGTGCAAAAGAAGTTTTACAACTCTTTATGTCAGTATCAGTAGATGATTATGCTACAACTCTTACAAGTCTTCATCGTGAACTTTTTGCTTCTCTACAAGGAGAATCTTTACTGCATATGACATATCGTTCTTCTGGGGTTTATTTATGTTCTACTTATTTTCGTCATTCTTCGCTAGGGATATTTTTATCAACTTCCTCAGATCTCTCTGCATGGGTAGTGTCAGTTCTCTTACATTCTGCTGTTGTTGATAGTCATGAATTACGTCATTTAAGAGTTACAACGTCACCAGGGGAGAAGTTTATAAATGTTTATAGTTGTATGGTAGATCTTGTAGTTGCTTTACTACGTTTGAATAATTTACATGGAGCTATTGGTATATATAATGGATTACAACATCCGTTTATTCAGCGTTTAATGGAACACCCTCGTCTCTCACCACTCTTTCCTGTTGCCAAACTTCAGAACATTTCATACTTGGGTTCCATTCTCCGATACGATAGTGAGAAGAATAATAGTGAGATAAATGAAGATGAAACGGTGAAATTTCTTGAGAATTATTTGGGTGGTCTCTTTGATGCCGATATCCACCCACCAGTTCCTCCTATTCAACCTTACCTTAAACAGTTAAATCGACTCCAGGAAGAAATGCCATCCTTTTTAACTGTACGTAAAAATGAACTTTATCCACAGTTTGTTAATAAAGTGGCATCAGAAAATATTGTTGTGGTAAATTGGCGGAAATATATGATAATTGAGGAAATGTTAACTCGTATAATTGCGTGGCAAATTACCCCAAAAAACAATTCACGTGACGAAACATTTGAATTACAGTTCGCAAACCAAAAACAATATGTGGTACAACAGCCTTGGTTACTGGCTCGTATGGTCAATGAGTTTATTTGTATGTTGTAGAGTTACCATTGGAAAAAGTATACGTGTTTTTTCCCATTGCAATACTGCCTACTGTCAACAATAGTTAATAATATTAAAAAAAAAAACATTGATTTCAACATAATATATTAGACAGAAAGACATTGATTTCAACATTAATATATTAGACAGAAAGATATGAGGAACAGGAGTGGCGAGACTGCAAATAAACTGCCTTTGTAAGAGATGTCCCCTCAATCATACCACCCTTTTTCTCTTTCTCTCTCTCTCTCTCTTTCCTTGTGTGTGTGTTTGTGAATGTATCAATGTTGTAATACCTGAAATTGTTTTTTGGGGTGTTACTACATTCTTATGGATTCAAATTGTGTATCGTTTTCTTTGTGGAATCAACAAGACATGCAAGACGATGGGTAGTTACTATTACGGACGGAATGCAAAAGATTTGGATGGGAGGAACCACTTGTTACCATTTGGATAAACTCAATTTCTATTAGTAATGCTTTTGGGATAAAGTTGTGTTACTCTTTTTTTTACGTTAAAGTTATTTATAATATTGTTCTCTTTCTTCTTTTGCGTACTTGTAATAAAATATTTCGCTACTTTAACACAAGGCGACAGACTTTCTTTCATTAAATCCATTCCAGATGATATCACACTAAAATACATGTTTGTATTGCTCCTCCTACTGCTGTTGTTTCTGTGCTGCGCCAGTGTGTGTATTGCGCAGAAGGACGGCGGCGACGCGCCATCGACTGGTGTTGTGCGGGAGTTGCCCCGCAAGGGACGGAGTGGTGTGCAGGCGTACACCGTCGCCACATCAAAGAGGCAGTTGATCCGCATCAAGACGTCAATGGAGGATTTGAAGAAGAAGACGAAGTACTGCACCAAGAAGAAAGACACTTCAGGCGAGTGTGAAGATCCGGATAACTGCAACAAGGATCACTTTGGTTTGACGATGGGTTGTTTATCTTGATAATCCATCATTTTATTCGGTTGATCAAGGCTCTGTAGCACAGTGGCAGTGCACTGGTCTTGTAAACCAGGGGTCCCGAGTTCAATTCTCGGCAGGGCCTTTTCCCTCCTCCCTCGTAATACACTACAGAAAATTCCATGATGGACAGTGTACGCCAACAAAAAAAAAAAATTCCACCCCACTGCATGATACAAACCAAAGAAAAACGAGAGACCTTTCGGCATTAGTCTCTCCCACATGCGGCCGTCAATGTATGGGTAAATCAGGTCTAACTCTACACCGTATGATACGACACGAGTACCAACCTACTCGCGCGCACACCAGCCAACGCGACGAATGCGACGAAACAGCTCTGCATTTTTTGAGTTGCCCCACTCTTCTGCCACTGCGAGTTCAATTTGCGATGGTTGATGATATACCCCTGATGAAACTATGTTTTTCTAAGCGGTTAGCACAGTTCCTTATTTCATTGGAGCGGAACTACACTGTGCCACAGTTTTCACACCCAAGAATCCCTACGCAGCCCACCTCATCCTCTGTAAGGCCTCCCCACCTCTCTAAAATCAGCGACGAGCTCGAATATGGAAACCTTGATAGAAGAGTAAGCTCAAGACGCCTGTCGCCGACCAAAGAAGCAACAAAATAAATAGGAGTTCATTGAGGCCAATCTATCACAAAAAAAAAAAAATAAAATAAAAAATAATAATAACAAAAGAAGACTTGAGGATGGGTTCTGGGTAAGAAAAGTGAGAGTAGAGAGATCTGGTAGAGTTTACTCGATCAGATTTCTCGCAGACTGGTTCTCTCATATAGGAACGGGCTACAACAAAAATAATATTACAAGAGGTTGAGGATCCTATAAAACGAAGGGATTTTCCTCTTTGGAGCCACTCGTAAGTGGGTAACTAGGTACTCCACGGTGTACGGCTTATAGCCGTGCCATTGGAGTAATACCCATAAAGACACGAAGAACAAAAAAAAAAAGATACGGACTGACAGTCGCAACATTGGGTGAAACCAGAAAAAAAACACGGTAAAAAAAAGTATTCTACCAACTGAGGAATAGAGGAACTGATAAGTTGGGATAGCAAGGCTGGATGTGGTTTCATTGGGAACAGTTGTCTCACCAACAAGGTCTTGAATTACCCTGACGCATTCTGGACTGGGGAAAGGACAAAGTGTTCAACTGATCACTTTGGGCTTGCGCTGTGCATGAATGAGTATGATGTAGGTACTAGAAATGAGGGCCAAACGGATCTGTCAGTTCTTGCCCTCATGGTTATCACGCTAATGCTATCACCGTGGACAGTATCAATGGTCCCACTTAACGCCATTAGATAGTGATACAGTGATGTCATTTGCTCAGCACCAAATGTATCCAAGTGATGGTGAAACAGTATTTACTTATACAGTACACGTATATATATGCATATGTTTGTATTTTGGTTTTCCGTATCCTTCTGTACAGGTGACAACCAACCCTGCATATAATTTGTTTATTGTCTGTTTTTTTCTTTTGCCTGTATGTATCTGTGCGTGCGTTAGATTTATGTGATGTTTGAATACGGCAAGAAGTAATGCTATTTGATATGTGTTTTTTTTATTGGCTGGAGCTATGTAAGAGCCAGTGCCCTCATGTAGCAGTGTAGAAAAGGCTGTGATGCTAGTCCTTTGTTTTCCCTTTCAGTGAGGGCACCTTTATTCAGGGCTTGTGTTTTTTGTTTTTTTTTTTTGTAGGGCGATTTGTTTTTTTTTTTTTCTTGGCTACGCTCAGGGGACTGGATGAAATTGCGTTATTGTTGTAAAGGGGGATGGTTTCACTCTTTTTTTATCTTTTCTGGGTTATCTGGTGTGTTTTCTTCCTATTTGTGTGTTTGGGTTTCTGTTCTGTTGTGGTGTCTATGTCTGTGTTGCATGCTTTTTCCTTTTTTCTTTTGCGTCTCCCTCTGTGGGTTGAGCATCGGTGGGCTAATTGTTCCAGGACTTCAATGTGCAGTGTTACTATCACTGTCTCTGT